TAATGTTCTCTGACTTCCTCTGCCAGCCTGGTTTAAAGAGAATTAACATGACAACAACCTATCCAGTCTCACTGTGCCAACAGTCCACAATGTTATAAACACAAACACGTCAGCAACAATTCTGCCCTGAAACACTTCTGCTGAAAATGCTCCATTTATGTCATTTCTGAGTGTGTTGAGGGCGCGAGGCAGCCGCGCAGATTAACCTTTATGGTCACATGTCTCAGTCTCATGTACATCAACTGTACATTCATGTTGTTATGACAGAGGTCATGTCTACTTTCACCACCCACAATATGCTTTTAAGCCATACTGACAGATAATTGATAGTTTAAGTGGAAATAGACAAGTTTTGTCTTAATTTAGCGTAATGAAGCAAATGTTGATTGCACATACAACAGTTATAGAATAATGACACCAACTGTGTTTAGACCATACACTGTATATAAAGATGGACGACACATCTCCACTTGCCCCAACTGGACAAAAGTGAAGCTAAATATCCCCGATACGGTGATGTCATTTGGAGCCAGTTTGCTCAGTAGTGACCCCCACAATATCAAGTTTCCCGCCCATAAACAAACAGCAGCGTGATAAAACTACCTTAAATGACAGAAACCATCTTTGTGGAAATTTTATTTGATGTGTACTTTTTTGTGTTGTTTTTAGTTTGGCTCATGTCCCATCCACTAACAAGAAGAGGACAGGCTTTATAATCTGTACTGCAGCCAACCACCAGGGGGCAATCAGGACGTTTTGGCTTCACTTTTGGGGAGCTGTCATGTCGTATATCTTTACTGACAGTCTATAGTTCTAGTTCCCTATAAGCCTTGATTTCACTGTTTAATTCTGTCTGCCACAGGGTACGATTTCCTATGAAAGTGAAGCCTCGATTTACTGGCTTGACACGGTGAGAATGTGCGTCAACCATTGTGCAACCGAAACTTTTGTTTTCCCTGCCACTGTTCAGCAAGCTAAAATGACTGTTTTTGTCAATGGAGTCTGGTGGCTTTGACGAGAGCACAGATGTGGAACTGAGGCCTTTAATGGCTGTCTGACAGAAAGGTAAAGCAGTGAAAATACTCTCAATATAGCGTGCAGCTGTGCACTTAGCCTGGTAAGACCATCCTGATAATGTCAGCAGTCTGTTTTGCTCTCTGTGTCAGTCTGGACTCAATGTCGCCCCTTATACTTTCAAAAGAAATTAAAATCTAATCTGGGCCAATCAGAGACCCGCACCATAGTTGGAGGACTGCGTTGTAGTTGATGTATAATGCAGGCCGCAGCTTGCAGAGCAGTAATGGCAGCTCCTGAAGCAACAAGCGCTGACTCCAACATTAGCTGAGTAAACACAGCAATAAGTGAAATTATTGCAGAAATAGAGGAAAATATATTTTTTTGTTACGCTGATTGGCTGAAGGAGTTTGTCTGTCAAGGCGAGTGCTCCCGCCTACTGAAAGTGACTGGGGTGGCCCCGAGCGCAGACTGACACAGACAGCGAAAAAGAATATTGAGTTCACATCCTTACCAGGCTAACATATATTTTAACTGATAGATTCTTTTAGGTGGCGAGAATATGTTTTGTTGCTGACCCCTCCACAGCAGTACATTGTCCAGCTTCCATGTCGAACTCCAGCTACTTCTCCAAACTGGGAGTATGCTGACTGCCATCTCCTGTAGATAATACACTGATGATGGATAAGTACCCATACAACCCCACTTCAAAAAATCTGAACTATCCCTTTAATCCCATCTACACAGCTCTGATTGGCTCTGTCTTTTTTCCAACGGAGCAAACAGCTATCAAAGAGCACATCAGCAGACTTACTGTATTTCAAAGTGAGATGCAGGTGGTGACTCAGAGATCTAGAACCTGACAGTTCACATGATAGAGCAGATTTGCTGAGATTCAAAGTGTTAAAACTCTTCATAAAAATCAAGTGAAAACAAAACTTTAAATTGTTGCATATTTAGTTGCATTGGTTTCTAAAAAGAAATAGTTCGACTCATATTTTAGGGGTTTTAAATCCAGAAGTTTCAGTTTAATTCAAAGTTAAATTCCACCTCTAGTCTTCTTCATCGGTCACTGACTGTCCAGTTATAACAGTCAGCAAATCTTGTTGAAACTGAAACAGTACATCATTCAGGTTATTGACATCCCCCAGCTCATCAGCCTATTCATTAGTCACACACGTATAAACAAAACGTCAGAGCTAAATCCTCTCTGACCCTTTTAAACCTGCTCACGTCTCCGCCATTTACAGTACACTGTGTTCTCCGCTGCAGTAACGAACCTGAACACTTCTCATTAACCCGACAGATGAACCCGCTCTGGAGCACCTGTGAACATCCCCTCATCTGTCCCGCTAATTGTCGTGTCAAATCCTGATATTTATTTCTGTTTTTTTTGCTGTTGAACTGATGTCTCCTTCCATGCTGCACTGAAAACAAATCACTTCACCCTTAGCCATGTGCTCAGTAAAGTGATTGATCGACCTGTTCCCTCTGTGACTGGTTAAGAAGGCAGCACACGTTTTAGCCTCAGCACAATGCAGCGTTGACACTCGTGAAAGATGGTGGAATCTTAACAGAGGTTCTGAGGAGTGCAACCTTATCTGACCAAAAGAAGTTGGACACTCCAGCACTTTTGGTCTGTTTCTCCTGATTTTAGGCTCTTTAGTTCCAATGTAGGAAAATCTGAACACTCCAATATGTAATTGCATTTTAGGGAAGTGTGCATCTGCTCAGGAACAAGAGGCTCGTGACATCTCAGTGGTGCTAGGTGAGCTAGCAGTAGATGCACGCTTCCTTATGAGTTGTGATTCGTGCAGTGTGACATCTAGTTTCATTATACTGGAGAAATGGCAGACATCTCTACAGCCAACATCTCCAACACTCTGCAACTCACACCAAAACTATCTAGACTGAAAAACAGCACACTACAGGTGAGAGGAAAAACATGTATTTTTGATTTTGGGGTGAGCTGTCCCTTTAGACTCAAATTTGAGGTATTTGTACTTTATTTTAGTTTTTCCATTTTAGGCAGTTTTTTGCGGAAACTGTCAGTAGACATTGCTGGATACCCAGAGCTATACGACTTTACAAACCGCAGTTACCATTATCTCAGTAGAAAATAGCAGGTGTGGAAGCAGACAAGTGCAGTACTTGAAATATTCATAATGGAGGAGAAGCTCCTGGACCAACTGGTGGTACTCCCCATGATCCAGCCTCTTTTTTGGGGTCTCATGTACCCACACAGATCTCTGTTTATCTAACAGTACCCTCTGCCTCAACATGTCAGGAACTAGCAACTAATTACTGTGAAATAAATACAATAAAACTGAAATAAAGGTAGATTGGCTCCATGGGAAGGTTAGGGTACGGTGGTGAGGGGTGCAAAACGCTTTCTGTGTGCTCGGAGCCTTAGTCATTATCTCCACAGTACTCATGGTTATTTAAAAATATCATTGTGAAAGCCCCAACAGTCGACCCTGCAATAACATCATTTTCTCCACATCGTCGAGCCCTAACAGGAAAACACTGACAGTGAACATTTTACGGCAACATATATACTTTTACTTGAAGGACTTTCAGTACATTTTGCTAATTACATACTATAACTTAAGTAAGGTTTTGAATGCAGGACTTTAACTTGGAGTATTTTTACTAGGGCTGCAACGATTAGTTGACTATTTGATGACTAATCGACTATAAAATAATCGGTGACTATTTCAGTAGTCGACTAATCGGTTTGAGTCATTTTTCATAGAAAAGTACTATAAAAGTGCCCCAAAATACTCTTATTGCAGCTTCTTACATTCAAATATTGGCAGCTTTACACACTCTCCCATGACGGTTAACTAAAACCCTTTGGCTTGAGTATGAAACAAGACATTAGATGACATCATTTTGGGGTTTGGGAGAGACAGACCGACATTTTTCAACATTTTAACACATTTTTTGATAAAATGATTAGTCGACCAATCGAAGAAATAATTGACAGATAAGTTGACAATGAAAATAATCGTTAGTTGCAGCCCCTATTTTTACAGTGTGGTATCAATACTTTTACTCCAGTAAAAGACCTGAATACTTCTTCCACCACTGATCCTGTCCAACACTTTTAGGATGAACTAGAACGCTGATTGTGAACCAGCCCTGGTGGCCTAACAGTTATTACTTGTATTCACATATAAAAACATGTAATAAGAAATAAAATAAAATAAAACAAATGAGTACAGTGAGTAGTTTGTTGTATAATCAGTGATACTGCAGTCACATATCCTACGACTGCGCTGCACAGAACAGTTTTCATTAAAGCATCAGCTCTGGGTTACAGAAGAGTTATTTTATCCATCGCCACTTGTCTAGTTTTAGGAACAGTGCTTGTTCCTCATAAAGGTTATTCCCCAGAGGAAGGCTAAAAGGCGACACACCAGCCTCTCCTTCACCTTCAGTGACACCCGGTTGCTACAGTATGTTTGTGCTTCCACATACTTTTGGCCAGGAGGTGTGTGTGTCAGCAGGTAATCATCAGTGCATAACTGAAGGGTTGAAACTGAGTCTGTCCACTCAGCATGAGTCAGACGCTGCCTCGGCTAGGTGATGGTTGGTGTTGTAGCGACATCCAGTGGCCAAAAGTGTTAACTGCAGTCAAAACCAGACCAGAAAAACAGACTGTTTCATATCATATAAGTCGAGTTTGGGTTTTAAACACTCAAGTTGAATTGCATGCTATGTCCAACTAATCAGCTGAGACTTTCTCCTTTGATTAAGTTGGATTGTTTTTAATACAGAGTGAGTGAAATGAGCCCTTTTCTCTTTATGTAAAGTACTTTTATGGTATTTTATATGCTGTATTTTGTGGGCGGAGCTATAATGAGAATTTGCTGTGGTCACCAAACTCCATGTACTTTTATGAATGAATTAAGCACGTCAGTCTGTACAGGTGTAACAGCAGGTGGATCGCTGCTGCATCATCTTAAACGAAGAGCACTTACTTCTCCTTTGCCTTCCTCGTCTCCTCCAGGTGGCGGTGAGCCTCCAGACGAGATTCAGGGGTGAAAGAACACGGCGTGTGCCAGAACTCCCTCTCCCGCCGCTCTTCATCTGAGACAGGGCTCATCGTGTTCTCCTCCACCTCCTGGTTCTCCTTATTCTCCTCCAACACTGGACTACAGAGGCAGAAACATTCAGCGACTTCAGCTTTGATGGAACTTCACTTCAAGCTGTGGTTATAATAAAAACATAACTTTCATCTTTTTCAGATCAGTGTGTTTCGATTCAGTTCAGCTGACTGTCTCCCATTTAGGATCACAGTCAGCTGATCAGTGTGTTTCGATTCAGTTCAGCTGACTGTGATCCTAAATGGGAGACTAAAAAACAAGCAGGTGACAAACTTTATCTCCTCCAGTTCTGTTGCTTTACTTGAATGTTTCTATTTTGGAGTCTTTCTTCTTTCTCCCACCACCACAGAGGGAACTGAATTTTACGGAGCAGCCATAAATCACAAATGTGCCTCAAAGTGCTTTATTATCTGCACCACATAGGACATCCTCGATCCTTAGACTCTTGACTGAAGTATGTTTTTACTCCACTATTTTAACAGTCAACATCAAATGAATATGGCTGCAGCTGCTGAAAACATTTTAACTTTGAACTGTTAAAACCAGCTTTTTTTTTAATTGTTAATTTTCTTTTTTCCTTTATAATGCTATTTTTAACAGTAAATTTTATTTTTATTTTATTTTTTATTTAGTAATTTGTAATTATTTAAGTCTATTTATATTTTTGTGTCATTATTACAATCTCTCTATTTTCTGTTATTTTATCTTTTTTTAAATGTTTGTTCCTTATTTTTTATTCATTTATTTTTTACTTCTTTTTATATTTATTATTTGTTGTTTTTAGTAAGTCTTTTTTATTCATTTTTTTTATCACTTACCACCTCTCTGTCTCTAAATGTATATTTATATAATAATGGTATTATTATTGTTTTATTTTTTTTATTTATAATTTTTATTTATTTATTTGTCTGTTTGTTTATTTAATATTATTACTTGCCTAGAAATGGGACTGTAACTTAGATGCTGAACAACTGATTCATGTATGGCCTGAATATTTCAATAGAATCAATTGTGGCCACATAATCTTCGCTTTGTTTTAGAGGGTTTTCTTTTCCTTCTCTGTATTTCTTTCTCTATATTTTTCTCTTTTGAAGTTTACGATAAGCCTGAAAAACCCCAAACTGGATGTACAAGTGTGACGAAATAATCTAAATATTGTCAATTTATAAGATTTCCCTGAACAGTTCAATTAAATTCTCTTTTTCATTACTTTAAATGCAGTAGTTTTACTTGTAAAGAAGTACTGTATATTGTAGTACTGACATTTTAACACTGGATCCTACATTTCCCAGAATGCAACACCCCAGTTTCTTTCTTTCATCAGACCTTTGTCTGTTAATGCTCATGTCTTTCAAACTCTGACAGGAAGTGTTTGCGTCTGCACTCACACTGTGTTGATGTCTGTGTACCAGCGACCGTCAAAGCCTGGTTTCCTCTCCTTGTCTCCTTTCTCCTCTCCTGCGTCCTTCCTCAGCGCCTCCTCTTTCTCCCTGGCTCTCCTCTTCAGGTACTCCTTCTCCTGCTCCCAGACTCGTCTCTTCACCTCCTCCAGTCCCTGAGAGGCTTGAATCCTCTCCGACCGGCTGATCTCCGTCCCGTCCAGCCACTGAGGACGGAGACAAAGCAGAACTCTGAATCTGGATCAGAATTATACAGATTCTCTCACCAGCCTCTTCATCCAAAATCAAACTGGTTTTAATCATTTATTCTTTAAACAGACTCAACTGTTTTAAAGATGATGCTGCTTTTATTACAACTTGGTCTCCTGTCAATAAACTTTGGGATTTCAACATGAGTATCACAGACAAAATCATGTCCAAAATTAATAAAATGTGATCCAGGTTGTCATCAGCCCAATTATGCTTTTGGCATCATTGTTATAGAAGTAATAAAATGCATCTTGTGATTTTTCGCTCTCTGAGTAAAGGAGTTAAACTGACTAAATGAAAGTGCGACAACTGCATTTATAACAACTTTGTGCTCAACATTTCTAAAACTACAAATTCAGAGTGTTATTTTCTGGAGCCGCGCCCCTCCAGGGCTCAGACTGACCAGGTGTGCCCTGTCCTGAGGCCTGAGGGGAAGGCAGGTAGAGTCACCTTGAGTTGAGGCAGAGACGCCACCACATACTGCCTGTAGCCCTCGAACTCAGTGCAGGGGTTCCCCACCAGAAACAGCTCTCTGAGGTGGATGTTGTGTTTCAGAGACTCCACGCTGCTCAGACGACCCACAAAGTTCACAGTCAGATCCAGTTTCTGGAGGCTCTCGCAGCCTGAAGGCAGAAAGCAAACACACAAACATACATCTTTGGATATTTACAGGCAAAACTTTGACGTGCACAAATTATGTTTAATGAATCAAACACAATGTGATGTTAACTGTGAGATAGATAAATTCTCACGCCTCGACTGCTGTGACACACCGTTTACACGCCTCAGAATGCCACTCGTATTTTAAGTAAGACAAATCATAGGTCACATGTCACGCCGATCCTCGCCTCCCTCCATTAGTCACCAGTTCACTTCAGGACTGATTTTAAGATTCTTTCAGTAACTTCTAAGGCTCAACATGGTTTAGCCCCCAGTTACATAACTGAGCTTCTGACTACCTGTGCTCCAAGTCGTGATCTGAGATCCTGGAGCCTGCCTTCACTAGTTATCCCTTGATCAGGACTGGTAACTAAAGGTGACTGGGCTTTTGCCATCATGGCCCCGAGGCTCTGGAATTCTCTCAGAGTTCCCACACATTTTCACCAATGAGTTTTCAAATCTTTTTCAAAACTTTTCCATGACTTTATTTAAGTAATTTAAAACTAGTCCATACCCACTGACTGCACAGTTGCCCACGTACAGTTTCACATGGTGTGTGTTTGGGATACAGGTCATAGGAAACTGCAGATTAAATAGTCAACTGAACCCATTAAGAAGAGCAATGTATTCAGACAGAGTGTTTGTGAATTTGATAGTACGATTGCTTTATTGAAAGTACAGTAGTACCATTGCCAATAGTGGGATAGTTAGTGGGCTAAAACTGTACATTAGTAGTTGAGGTAGCACGTTGAAAGGCAGATAGTTAAAGTGTTTATATGTTGTATTGACTTAAAATTGGGGCGCACTGGTAGTTCACATGGAAAAGGTGCAGCTAGCCCTTGTTGCAGCAGCATACCATACCATGACTTAGTCATACCAAATATTAGAAGAAAACACCAACATTGGTCCACAGGGGGAGCCACAGCGATCGGTCGCATTTTAGCCATTTTGAAGCATTTTTCTGTTGTTATAGCGCCACCCAGTTGCCAATTAGAGTTAAATTTCTCCAGTCACCTTGAGGCGTCCTGATCTACATATCTACCAAGTTTAGTAAAAATCCATATGGCGGTTAGGCCTAGATAAGAAATGAGCTCTCTAGCGCCCCCATTTTGTTTGATGGGGTCAATAATGGAGGGGTCCCCTCAGATTATGTGTGGTCATATGCCTATAAAGTTGCGTGGTGATGGGTGAAACCCTTGAGATGTTATACACCTTTATGTGATGAGCCACGCCCTCCGCAATATTCATTGCCTTATAGAAGCTCAGTTTTAGTAAGTTTTCCAACTTTTGCCAAGAGGGAACTTTAGATATTGGTCCCTAGATTATGTTCACCCAGTTTCATGCAGATCGCTCAAACTTCCTAGGAAGAGATCCATTTGAAGTGTTTTTCAAAACATTCAAAATGGTGGAAAATCTATATAAGCGGAAGTTATGGGTTCTTGAGGCAAATGTGTTCCTCATGAGGAGAGGCATCTCTGTGCAAAGTTTCATGTCTCTATGACATACGGGGCATGAGATATGCCCATTCAAAGTTTGACATTTCAATCGGTTGCTATAGCGCCCCCCTTTGGCCAATTGATGTAATATTGCTTCATTCACATCCTCCCATGACCCTCTACCACTGTGCCAAATTTCACATGGATTGACCAAGTCAGTGAGGAGAAAAACATGGAACACACACACACACAGAGTTTTGGTCATTATAAAGTAAGATAAGATGAACAGGCCTTTAGCAATACAGCCACACCCACTTCCCAGTCATCTGCAGATATGCAAACCACTAGCACGTGCTAACTTCACTGACTCGTTAGATATTCCCATCGTCAACTAGCTGCATATGCAAACAGACCAGACCAGCCCTTACAGGTACTTCATAAAGCGCCAAGGTTGCTCATTATTTGTGACAACAGTGTGTGCTCTGCATACCAACCTTCAAGGTTTTCAATGACTTCAATGTTGTTCAAGGCCAGATTCAAATACTCCAGCTTCTTCAGGCGTCCAACATTCTCTATGAAACAAATTACAGAAAACAAGCATGTCTGTGCAAACTGTCTGTGATGTTCCCTGTAAACAATGATTTGGTGATTTGCTCGTAAACACGTCTAAAACTAGGGTTGTTTTTTAGCTGGTTGGACGCTCAAAGTTGTCAACACAACAGTAATGTGTGACATCTGAAGACCTTCATTTTTCAGCCAAATGTTCAGTTTTAATCTAGATGTCTATAAATCATCAGTGTTTACTGAGCAACTTTCACCAGAGGCCACTGACTGATGTCTCACCTATCCTGGGGATGAGGTTGTTCTGCAGGTAGAGGATCCTCAGGTCCCTGCACCACCTGTCGATGTGTTCGATCTTCTCGATGTCCTGCTGATGCAGAGACACTTCCTCCAGGGAGAAGATCTCACACTCGTTGTGCTCGGCCCGTCGGCGGACCATGTCCTCTGTAACTGGACGGACAAAACACAAACAAGGGTCAAACATTCAAAACCAGGGATCGACCGATATGTTTTTTTCAGAGCCGATGCAGATACAGATTATTATGAAACAGAAATACAGACAGCCGATATTTACAACCAATATATGTCTGGTGTAAAAATCATAGTTGACACAGAATTTTAAAAAATAAACACTGACAAAGAAACACCAGAGGCAGGATAAAAACTCACAATAAAGAACGACATTTTAGATCTTTCAATAAACAGGAAAATAAATAAGTTAAAAATAAATAAATAAGTAACGACGTTGAAGAATATGCCAGCTAAATAAAAACAGATTAATAAAAATAAATACACAATAACTATAAATACAGAATTTAAAAAAATAAAATGAAAAACAATAAAGAATAAAAATAATAATAATAATAATAATAATAATAAAATAAAATAAAGGAGAGCTCAATTAAAAGCCAGGCTAAAAAGGTAGGTCTTGAGTTTGCTTTTAAAAGCTAAGAGTGGTACGTGCAGGCAGTGAGAAGAACGCCAGGGGCAAAACAGCTCAGCTAAGGAAACAAAATTGTTTATCGGCATATCGGTGGAAAAAAACACCAATAACGCTACGTTAGCATCATTTCTCCAATCATATTACTATTACTAGAAATGTGCCTGGTTTCCTTTGCCAGAAATAATCAATTTATTTTGAAGTCATATTTGGTTGAAATCCATAATGTTTAGGTAGGTCATGATGAGGTGTCTAATCTCCCCACTGAGAAGCATCATTCATTTAAAGGCTACAACATACATTCACAGCAAACTCCCAGGAAACGAGTTCTGCTCCAACTTTGTTTTTGTAAACTGAAGTTTAAAACTTTTACTGTTTGCCACTGTTTTTTACTCAATTATAAACATACTGCATTGTACTAACATTATACTGTTATTTTCTTATTTAGGGAAAACTCAGGACAGTTGTAACATTGTTTGGTTTTGATGTCATTACTCAAAAACCTCTTGAACTACTCGGATGCAATTTTTACATAGGAAACTTTTTTGTGTTCTACTTGTTGACAGTCATCAGCTGTTTTTACAGATAATGTCAGTCAGTTGTAACAACACACATAATACCTCATAAATACCAATGACAACAATAAACTTTAAGGAATAAAGATATAATTAAAAAGATAAATATTAACAAAACAAATTTAATTCAAACACTATAATTAAGTATACCATGTATGAGATATGTAAATGTAAATGTTACTCAACAGGATGGTCTTCAAACCAGTCCGATTCAAATAAAGGTGAGGTTTAGACTGTGTGAGGAAACTACTGTAGACGACAAAAATTACTTTCATATCTCAAGAAGGAGTCGTGGCAGGCACAGAGGGGCCATCACAGACCGTGTGTGCCTGAGTTTCATGGTTCTGTCTCATTTCTGATTGGTGCAACTGCCCCCAGTCTCCCATATATGGGCCTTTCTGGCCTTGTGTTTATCTTGAGATGTAATTTAAAGTCTTATCTAGTGTTAAATAACTTTCAATTGCCTTGTTGCTGAGCGGTGCTGCAGGAATAAATTTGCCGTGCCTTTTATCCATCAATAATAAAGGTAGATATCTTTCAAATTATCTCTAGTATTGGTAGTGGAGAAAGCTAAGTAGTTAATACTAGTCCATACCCATTGAGTGCACAGTTGCCCACGTACAGTTTCACATGGTGTGTTTGGGATACAGGTCATAGGAAACTGCAGATTAAATAGTCAACTGAACCCATTAAGAAGAGCAATGTATTCAGACAGAGTGTTTGTGAATTTGATAGTACGATTGCTTTATTGAAAGTACAGTAGTACCATTGCCAATAGTGGGAGAGTTAGTGGGCTAAAACTGTACATTAGTAGTTGAGGTAGCACATTGAAAGGCAGATAGTTAAAGCCATTACCTTATAGAAGCTCAGTAAGTTTAGTAAGTTTTCCAACTTTTGCCAAGTTTTCCAACTTTTGCCAAGACTGCCAAGAGGGAACTTTAGATATTGGTCCCTAGATTATGTTCACCCAGTTTCATGCAGATCGCTCAAACTTCCTAGGAAGAGATCCATTTGAAGTGTTTTTCAAAAAATTCAAAATGGCGGAAAATCTATATAAGCGGAAGTTATGGGTTCTTGAGACAAATGTGTTCCTCGTGAGGAGAGGCATCTCTGTGCAAAGTTTCATGTCTCTACGACATACGGGGCATGAGATATGCCCATTCAAAGTTTGACATTTCAATCGGTTGCTATAGCGCCCCCCTTTGGCCAACTGATGTAATATTGCTTCATTGGCATCCTCCCATGACCCTCTACCACTGTGCCAAATTTCACATGGATTGACCAAGTCAGTGAGGAGAAAAACGTGGAACACACACACACACACGCACACACACACACACACACACACACATACAGTGTTCGTCATTATATAGTAAGATTAGCAATAAGTGTTAGCTTTGTGACGTCAGCATGCTAAAGAAGTGTTATGATAGCAGTGGCTAGCTCCCCGGTTAGCTAGACTAGGTTAGCTAGACTAGGTTAGCCAGTGATAGACGTAAAAGCCACCTGTGATAATGGTATAACTACTAACCAGACCTACTTTTACTAAAAAACATGGTTTACCAATGACGTAATTTCAAAAGCTAGCGCATTACCAATCGTGACCGTTACGGTGAAGCTAAGTTAGCAAAATCCCCTACCTTATAAGGTAAATTTAAGAATGTCTGTGTCGTTAAAAATAAAAAGTAAAACGTGTCATTTACATATAACGATGTTTAACAGCAGTAAAAATGCAGAGAACTGTTGTACAGTTTTATCAGCAGTTATTTTGGGCTGTTTGATTTCTTTATTTAACTTACTGTAAACCATCGTCCTCTCTGTTGTCTGCCGTTGCTGTAGTAACCGATCTCATGCTGCATTCGCGTACCGTGGGAAATACTACAACTACAAATTTGGCAATTGACGAGGTCCAGTTATTTTAGAGACTGACACTAATATTTGACATTTAATACTTTTAGAGAAACAATAATGTGTACAGGAAAATGCAAACTCCCCACAGAATTATTATATATAATGTATGATTAATGCTGATACTGATGTATTAACTTCTAGGGAGCATTTAGTGTAGTGATAGATAGATAGATAGATAGATAGATAGATAGATAGAGTCATATTCAATTGAATTGAGTTGATATATGTTGTAAAAAATGTAGTTGAGTAGAAGTAAAAAATAAAGTCCCATAATAGCTGGTTCAGTACAATGCATGTTTTTTTTCCTTATTTTACACCACTGATCTATACATATATTTACCAGTATGGGTTTAAGATGTTCAAAAACATTATTTCATATACCTTTGTTTAACTACAAACAATAAAAAAAAACTTCCACGACTTTTCCAAAACTTTTCATATTTTGTTTTACTAATGTCATGAACTTTTCCAGGCCTGGAAAATGTGATGGGAAATTCCATGACTCTTCCAGATTTTCCATGAGTGGGGGAACTCTGGATAACAGTTTAATGAAAAATAACTGCCAGTTGAGGGTAGTAAATAGGCCCTATTATGGGACTGTCCACTGTCCCCACTGGGTGTCAGGTGGGCCCATTAGTGGCCCAACAAGGACCCACATGTGGGAGCTAATTAATTTACCCAAGTTGGCCCCAGATAAAATGCTCACTATGGGCCCATACCCACTTAGTACCCAGGTAGCATAACCCATGTGGCGTTTGAGGCGTTGCTTTTTATCATTCAATATAACTTGGGTAAGTGAAGTTAGAGTTTACAAGGCGCACACGAAGGCAGCACCCCATCATCAACTCCGAGCTTTTATTTTGAAAGTGGCATTACGGAAGTTGTTCAACGACACGCTGAGGAGGAGAGAACCGACCATCAACAAACAACAACGATTAACCGCAGCATCCATCCGTTCCCCCGAGCCGGCCACTCACTGCTCGGCCACAACAAGAACCAGCCCACCGCCAGGAGCTCACCGGACGTTCTCCTCCTCCCCTGAACGCACCGTGTGTTTCCTAATGTTGGTTTAATTCACGTTTCGGCGGTTGTTGTCGTTTCACGTCCGCTCAACATGACGAGTTACAAGGCGTTTCATTCTCAGTTGACGTCCATCATGGAGGCACTGACCAAAGCGGCCGTGGCGGAGATCTGCGAGCTGGTGGATGACAGCTACGCGGTGCTGCAGCTGGAGATCAGCCGGAGCCACAAGGAGAACGAGGCGCTCAGGAGGAGGCTGGAGCTCATCGAGACCATCATCGCCCGGGGACAGCGGGGGAACGTCGCGATGCTGGATGACGGCAGGATGGAGGCTGCCGGCGGGAGGTTTATGGGTTTCACTCTCGGTGAGTTTCGGGGCCTTTTCCAGACAGAGCCGACATGCAAATGCCCGTTATTACCGTGTTCATGACACCGATGATGGAGGCAGGATGTGTGCTGCAATGAATGGACTCCAGGCTCCGATCACTGGTGTGTTCCGCATGGAGAGCGTCACACACCAAACTCCAAACTGCACTCAGTTTATTGTTTTAGCCCTTTTTAACCATTAACTCCCACTGTGTCCTTACAGGCAGGTACAAATTCGCAGTTAACGTCCACAGCCAGCAAGCAGAGAGTGATGTCAAATAAAACTTGCCCTGTTATTGATATTAAACTTTTACCCCTCTATGTATGTATGCCGAATTAAAGACTTGACCTAGAATATTCACAAAAAGCATTGAAACACATTATTAAGAGCATGTGACGTCTCAAAAAGTAAAACAACTTTAAAATTGTTAGTTTACTGAACCAAGTTCTTGGCCTTTCCCTCTTTTTACACGTCTGCCTTTCACCTGTTGTTGTTCCGCATAGAGAGCGCTGCACACCAAACTCTACTGAAAAACTGTTCTTAAAACGCTTCCTTGTTAGTTGCAAGGAAACTATATCATTTTCTGCAAAAAAGACAGATAAAATATTGAGCTCTTTCGACCGTTGACTCCCACTCTCTTGTCATACGCAGGTTACAAAAAGCCATTCGCAGTTAACGTTCACAGCCAGCAAGCAGAGAGCAAACTTTCTATTTTACTGATATAAAAAAAACTTTTAACCTCACATGTATATAAGCCGAATTGAAAACTTAATCTAGAATATTCAGAAAAGACATCGAGACACATTATTAAGAGCACGTGACGCCACAGAAAGTAACACAACTTTAAAATTGTTAGTTTACTGAACCAAGTTCTTGGCATCCCCATCTTTCTTTTTTACACAACTGCTGTTGTTCTGCCTGGAAAGCGCTGCACACCATACTTAAAACACTTCTTTGTTATTTGCAAGGAAACTACAAATTTTGTATTTTTTTTTTCTGTCTATTTTTAGCCATTTCTACCCTTGACTCCCACTGTTTTGTTATAGACAGATTACAACTTTACATTTTACTGACATGAAACTTTAAACCTTACATGTATATATGCTGAACTGAAGACTTGATCTAGAATATTCACAAAAAGCATTAAGACACACAATAAAGTGCACGTGAAGTCACAGGAAGTAAAACAACTTTAAAATTGTTAGCTTACTGAACCAAGTTCTTGGCATTTCCCACCTTTTTTCGACTCAAATAACTCAGTTACACATTACTCATTCACAGTTATTACTCATATATTGTACTTACTGTTTGTAAGTAAGAACAGTTATTTAAACACAGCAGTAGAGAACAATGAAACCTCGATTACAGTTGTCTGCCTCCCCACGTGACACCCCTTCAAAGAGCCCTGGTGGTCTCCTTCACCCCAAATGAGGAGCCAGTAGGGTAACTGTCTTTTTGGTTTTTTACTTAGAACGTGCCTTACCAGCTGCAGCGGGGCCCAAACAGCCGAAAGCAAATCTCAAAAGAAGTGGAAGGGTCACTGCGTTGGATGTGACGACAGAGCTGACCCCTGCAGCCAAAGAGGTGAGAGGACAGAGACGAAGTTGTTTTCATCTTGCTGTAGCTTGGCCTTTAAGACCCAGGAAAGACAACTATTGACATAAATCATATAGCAGTCATATAAACATACAGTATTATCTGCCAGCTTTCTTACTGGGTTGTTTAAATGCATCATCTCTGCTGCCTTTAGTAACTGTGTTGCTTTTGGTGGAGCTTAGTGCACAAATGTTACACTGTATGTGACATTGTGGTTGAAAATGAATAGTAATTGTGGTGTGACGATCTGGTGTAGCACACCTGTCATCATAAACAAAGTTAAAATAAGTCTCCCAGTGAATTAAGTGTCAGTTGTTTATTCTGTTGTTTTCTGCTCTCAGGATTCAGCGACAGGAGCTGCAGAGGAGACGAACGATCAGGGTGTTGTTTTGATAAAAGAGGAAGCCGCAAAAGAGGAGGCGGACTGCAACGACGCCACAGACGAGCTGCTTCTCAATGAGGACGGTGAGAGAGGAAACGCACCGACTCTAACATTAATCCAGGAAGTAATGCTTAATTTCCTGCCAGACTCCCTGTGACAGCAGTCATGAGCACAGCTACGAAATAAAATCACAAAGGAGAGAAGATGAAAGCAGGTTTGATGCAGCTTTTATACCAACAGACTCTGATGCCACACGGTCACCATGTCAGCTTTGTTCAAACACCCAAGACAGTGACAGTTTGTCATCTCTATAATAATCCCCTAGTCAAACTGTACTTGCATACTTACATCACATCTTGCAGCAACATGCTCACTCTAGAGTTCTCAGTGTGTTCCCAAACTGAACTGACCCGTGTGAGTTGAAGTTGGAACCTGGCCCGTCCGAGATCATCACATGAAATACTGAGGCTCAGCCTGACTGAGCCTGACTCCGCCAAAAAGCACTAGTTGGCTTCTAACACCCAGGACGCACCAGCTGTGTGGCGGCACAAGTCAAGCACATCTTAAGCGGAAAATGTACCAGCTCAGTGGATCACAGAGTCTCCACACTGTATTTCCCCGCCAGAGAGCCCGGCACAGAACCTGGCTGCTCCCTCTCTTCTCTCCCTGCCTGCACTTCTTAATATTTTTTATATAAATATATATTTTTTTAAATTCCACAGACCTACCTGACGCAACCAGTCAGTGCTCATTTTTGGCCTGAACCCAGGCTCGGGTTGAGATTGAGAACATTAGCTCACAGCACAACTTTTATTCATGTGTGTATGCCTGTCAGTGGATAATACACGGCCGATATTTTGACATTAAATGCACGAGACAAACTGCAGCCAACGTTTCTTTATTTAGTGCAAACTGAGGTTTAATGTAAAAATAGACACTTTGACAGAAGTCATTGTCGCGCTGGTCTTTCGTCTTTGAGATGTTAAATGCAAAATGGCCTTGAAATCACTGCTTCTGTGTTTCACACTGTTTGTTGTGTGTCTGAAGGAACGGAGGTGCAGCCGTCAGAGAGAGAGGACAGTGATGAAGGACCCTCTGGGATGATGATGATGTCCACCCCAGCGGCAGACATGAGGCTGTGGGATCAGAACAGTAACGGACCGTTGGAGCATCAAGAATCCCACAGTGCGCCAGGGTCTCCAGGCCCTGCAGGGGGCGCTAAGAGCTCTTCAGATGTGGTGTTTGACTTGGCCTCCGAGTCGGACTGTGAAGCTCCGTCTGTGGTCCAGACGAGGAAGCCGTTCCTTCTCGGGTCCAGAGAAAGTCCCACCTCTCTGCCCGGGACCTCTGAGCTGAAGCGGGGTGTGTCTCTGATCAGCTCCCTCCCCTACGACACAGACCTGGACCTGTGCTCCTCGTGGACTAATCAGGGCCTGCCGAGCATGGTGCCCGTCCCTCAGCGGCCGACACTGCTGGACAAAGTGTCAGACCTGAATGTTGCCGGTTTCCCCTTAGCTCTGGGTCTTGGCGGATCCAGACTGGACCCGCTGGACCTGAACAGGTACTGCAGGGACAGGCGCTTTGTCTGCAGCTACTGCGGAAAATGCTTCACATCATCCCGCAGCCTGGAGACACACGTGCGCGTTCACACAGGCGAGCGGCCGTACAGTTGTGCTCAGTGCGGGAAGCGCTTTACGCAGTCGGGACACCTGAAGACGCACCAGAGCGTTCACACTGGAGAGCGGCCGTTCGCCTGCGAGCACTGCGGGAAGAGATTTGCCGGGAAGCAGAACCTGCGGATCCATCAGCAGAAACACCATCCGGCTGAGCAGAGCGCTGCTCCTGTTTAACACAAACACTGCTGAAATAAATGCACTCATGGTACTGAGCTCCAAACTGTGACACACCACAACCTTCTGACTGCTGATACTGTTGCTGAACTTGTAACTTTAATACATCTTTTTTTAAGTTGAAGGCCTTTTAAAGAAGTTTTAGAAGAATGGGTGCTTTTGAAAAACTGATCCATAGATGCGACTGTTTAAAGTTTATCAGGCCTTACATATTTTTAACCATCTGAACTGCCTTGGTAGAACGCTGATACAAAGCTAAATGGGACTATGAGCTGATCCAGATCAATTCTTACCTCAAAAAGAACGTGGGCCGTTTGGGGTCCACTTCAGTACTCTAGGTTAGAGGAATGACTGTGTGGTGAAGATGATTCCTGTAGAGAGCCAACACCTGTAAGAAGCATGTGAATGTTTATTAGTTGGTGTGTATCTGGAATTAAAAGTGTGCAATCTTGGATGAATGGTTTGGTTTCTTCAGTGTGTGTTTTTAGAGATGTTCCAGTACCATTCCTGATTACGCTACCTTGCGTATAAGCCAATACTGAGTACCAATCCGATACCACTGTGTTAAAAACAAAAAAAACAACTAGTCAAGCACAGAAGATCTGAACAGTCAGCACAGTGTCACGGTCACTGTCACCAAGTCGGTATCTGACCAAATGTCTCCCCCTCTGCTCCTGAGGTATGATGTTCAGTAATGGCCAGACACGTTTTTTGCAGAACATTACGATGTCACAGTGAAGCTGACCTTTGACCTTTTGGATATAATATGTTATCACTTCATCATTTTATCCTTTTAGACATTTGTGTGAAATTTGGTCATAATTAATGTTCAAAGTCTTGAGTTATGGCCAAAAACGTGCTTTGTGAGGTCACAGTGACCTTGACCTTTGACCACCAAATTCTAATCACAGGGTTTTTCACCAATGATTTTCCTTGACTTCTCCAAAACCTTTTACTGAATTTCCATGACCAAAAGAAATTGTTTTATCTCAATGGGACCACCGAAAACTAATTATCGTAACACTAAGTAAAATTAGGTTTACATCTGAAATGTATAGTGCCTCTCTGAAACAAAAAAAACACCAGACAGGCACACTTAGATACATTTTCTCATATTTTAATTCCAACAGTTTAATATTTTTGTCAATGTCTCAAAAGATAAAAATGCCATCACATTTTCTGTCAGAGATAAACAGAGAGAAATAGTGCACTGGGGTAGGAATGCCAGTGCTAACTACTGATTACCCAGTAATCAGTACATGAGTTGTCAAAATAAAAAAAAAAAGAAATAACATAAAATAAATAAATAAATAAAATGTTTGGACTGCACATGGTGGTTTAGGCTTTCGTCAAACAGCACTACATATGCCGTTTGTTGGGACACTTCTGACAGTAAGAGTCTTTTGAAGTGCGGAGCAGCCCAAAAGTACAGACATAGGCACACTTGTTCTCACCACAGGTAAATTTCAGTGCAATCCGGCTGTCCGGGAACATGGCGGCGAAAAGACGGCTCGTGTCCTCAGATGACTTGAATGTAGTCTCACCACCAGACAATCAGAGATCTCCACCTTCTGATAGTCTGGGGACACTCCTTTCTAAAGTGTGTTTAACACACCGGCGAAAACGGCGGGCAAGAAAGCAACGCCTCTTGCATTTTTGAAAAGGACACGCCTTCTCGGAAATGTGCGCTCCCCCTTTTCTTGTCCGCAAGGAAACAAACACACAGAGAGCTTGAAAATGGATGCCGAGAGATTTAACTCCGTTTTATCAAACGTGTGCTCATCCGTGAAGAAAATATTTTTTCCAGCGGATGTCTTAGTTACAACATGATTGAGCTAACTGGAGTAGTTTCATGT